CATCATTTCTCACAGTATAATTCCAAGGTTTATCCATTCCCAAGCATCATTTCTCACAGTATAATTCCAAGGTTTATCCATAAGTTCATTTCTCACAGTATAATTCCAAGGTTTATGTATCAACAGTATAATTCCCAGCCATCCTCATTTCTCACAGTATAATTCCAAGGTTTATCCATTCCCAAGTTCATTTTCTCACAGTATAATTCTCAGGATCACAGTGTAAGGTTATCCATCTCCTCCCAGGGTGTCCCAGTTCGCTATTTATCCATCCCTAAGTGTCATTTCTCACAGTATAATTCTCAGGATCACAGTGTAACGCTATCTCTCTCCCCCCAGGGTGTCCCAGTTCGCTATTTATCCATTCCCAAGTGTCATTTCTCACAGTATAATTCTCAGGATCACAGTGTAAGGTTATCCATCTCCTCCCAGGGTGTCCCAGTTCGCTACAGCCGACGAGTACACAGACACGACCCTCCGAGTTTTGAGCATTGAGAAGAGGCAGTTTGGGAACTACACTTGCATGGCCACTAACAAGCTCGGTCAGTCCAGTGCCAGGGTGGAGCTCATCGGTAAGTAGTGGTGGTTGGGCGCTGGTTTGGTCGTTTGTTGGGGGGGGGGTTGTTTTGATTTTTTTTTTTTTTTTTTTTTTTTTGAGGGGGGGATTTTTTTTTTTTTTTTTTTTTTTTTTTTGAGGGTGAATGTTTTAGAGAAAGGTCTTTGCAGATTAGTGTTTACAAATGATGTGGGATTTTTTTCTTTTCTTTTTTCATTTGTTGTTGCTGTTGAAAGTTAGTGAAAATAATTTCTACTTGTGTATGCACATTTATAGGTTAGACATTAGGTGTAATGCTAGAGAAATTAATAACACACGAATATTCATTAGATAATGAACAAGATATGTACTCCAGTGTGTTGACATACAGAAGCCCTTTATCTTAGACACACATAGAATAATAATAATAATAAAAACATATAAGCCACTGTATAGCTTTTTCGCAAAATGCTATCGCCAAAAAAATATATATATATGTTCTGCTGTTCTTCATAAACTCCCTTTCATCTTGTTCTGCATCGTCTCCGTAGCTTCGTGAATGCCTGGAATCTTGCATTGGAGAACGAGAAAGAGATGCGACGTAGTTGTACAGTACTTAAAGCTCGCTGTTGTGCAACTCTGCAACTTGACTCGTCTAGTCCGTAGGGTCAGGCGGCGGACCTGCTGTGCCGCCTGACCGTCATGAGCATGAACACAGCGAGATCAATGAACAGCCTTTTCTCTTGCATGATGAAGCTGGGCACAGATGTACTAAGTCTTTTGCATAAATTTGGTCTAAATGCTTTTGCTGAACATGTGATGGAGGACAAAGAACTTTACACTAAGACCCAGTTTGATTACTTTCAAATGTTTAATTACAATTCTGTTATCAAGCTGTAAGACAACAAAATCATTATGTCACTTATAGCAGGGAACACAATGTTGTTTTTTTCTGATATAAGATATATAGAATACAGAACTTGCTTATTAATAAGCAGCGCTGCTTTTTATCTGAAGACAGAGTACCTATATATCTAATATACAATGCATATATATATATATATATATATATATATATATATATATATATATATATATATATATATATATATATATATGTATATATATATATATATATATATATATATATATATATTATATATATATATATATATATATAATATATATATATATATATATATATATATACATGTGTATATATTTATTGTATATGTAGACTAATAATCGATGTAATATACTTCATGTAATCCATGTAATGGATGAAATTGAGTTCAAATGTCCAGAGTCAAAACCAACATAAATAAGCACTTACCATAACGTAAAAGAATAAATCCATAGATCACAACACCCCCCCCCCCCGCCCCATTAACCCTTGCAATACCCAGTCACCCCCCTCCCCCAAAGACTGTGCCCCACCCCCCTCCCCCTATAAGACTGTGCCACGCCTCCCCCCCCTAAGATGTACCCCACGCCCACCCCCCCACCCCCTTAAGACTGTGCCCCGCCCCACGCCCTTCGCCCCTCCCCCCTCGCCCTCCCCCTTCCCTAAACTCTTGTGTCTGGCTATTGTAGAGACCACCACGCCCGTGTGCCCGCCGGCGTGTGGCACCCTCACCTACTCTGCCGCCCACACGCCCTCGCCTTCCGTCCTGGCCATCCTCGCTCTCTTTGCTGCTATCTTCCTGAGGATCTAAGGAGGTAGGCGGTTCCTTATAGGACTCCCGTATAAAGCACTCGAAGTTGTCTAAACCTGTCCTGTTTGTATCCTGTTTACTGTTTGTTGTGTGTGTTTGGTATGAGATTCAAAGCGTAATCCTTTTTTTTTTTTTTGCTGATCTCTCTTGTCTTGCTCTCTCTCTTTCTCTTTCTCTCTCTCTCTTCTCGCTTTTCTCTCTCTCTCTCTTTCTCTTCTCTCTCTCTTTCTCTCTTCTCTCTCTCTCTCTCTTCTCCTTCTTTCTCTCTCTCTCTCTCCTCTCTCTCTCTCTTTTCTCTTTCTCTCTTCCCTCCCTCTTTTTTCTATTTCTTCCCCTCCTTCTCTTTTCTCTCTCTCTGTCTATCTTCTGTCTGTCTGTCCATCTTTATTACATCCTTTCTTTCTCAATTTTTGTTATGATTTTTCATTTATGTCATATTTCCTCTTTTTTCAGTTTGCTTTGTCTTGTTTCTTTTATGATCGTTTTTATTTTCTTTCTTAATTTATCTTGGATTGCTCTTCCTATGTGTTTATTGTTAGCATGTTTAGCATGGACTGAGAAACCAAATGCACTGTAACACTTATCTATCAAGCAATGTATTTCTCTATAAAACACTGTTATTAAAGAATGTCCTATTTATTGTCATTATACAGTAGTTAATGTTATTATTATGTGATAGCTCTGTTTTAAAGTTGTTTTTGCATTGTTATTGCAACTATTCTTAATATCATCATCATCATTACTATCATTTTCCCATGATGGCTGTCATCTATGTTGTTATTTTAATGTTTGTTTAATTGGAATGATGATCATTGTTACTGCTGCTGTTTATTCCCACTTTCGTGTTTCTTTTTCCTTTTCCTTTTCTTATGATGTAATTGATTTCCTAATGTCATTGATGTTTATTGCTAGCAGTGATCAATTTATTAATGTGTATGTTTTACTTGTTTTATGCATACGTGCATACATATGTTCATAAATATGTAAATATATATATATATAATATATATATATATATATATATATATATATATATATATATTATATATTATATATATATATATATATATATATTATATACATATATATATACTTACACATCCCATATCAACATATACAATCACATACATGCATACATACACACATATATCCATATGCATAAATAAATACATGCATATATGCATATATATTGTACATATATACATGATACATATATATACATACATATATACATACATACACACTTAATATATATATATATATATATATATATATATATATATATATATATATATATATATATATATACATGTGTGTGTCTGTTTGTGTGTAACTATGTATGTATATGTTCATTATATTTCACTCTTTTTAGAACGCAGTTATTCTTGACATATATAAATAATAATCTTCTACAAAGCCCTTCATACCTAATTAAAGTTCTGCTTGTTTTGGTTCTGTTTATTGTTATCTAAATTAGCTTTTGCATTGTTGCAACAGGAAATCTCTGCTAATTATGAGATGAAGTAATGACTTCTTTTTATATAATGTGATGTTGAAATTGGCACACAACACACACACACACACACACACACACCACACACACACACACACACACACACACACACACACACACACACACACACACACACACACACACACACACACACACACATATATATAATATATATATATATATATATATATCTCTCTCTCTCTCTCTCTCTCTCTCTCTCTCTCTCTCTCTCTCTCTCTCTCTCTCTCTCTCTCTCTCTCTCTCTCTCTCTCTCTCTCTCTCTCTCTCTCTCTCTCTCTCTCTCTCTCTCTCTCTCTCTCTCTCTCTCTCTCTCTCTCTCTCTCTCTCTCTCTCTCTCTCTCTCTCTCTCTCTATCTCTCTCTCTCTCTCTCTCTCTCTCTCTCTCTCTCTTCTCTCTCTCCCTCTCTCCCTCTCCCTCTACCTTTCCCTCTCATTCTCACTCCCTCTTCCCTCTTTCATTCGCTCTCTCTCCCACACACATTATGCACAATCTATCCACACACAAAAAAAATATTTATTTTACATATTCTGATGTAATTCGTGTCCCAAAAAAAAAAATCTCATCCACAATTAACCCACTAACGCATTCCTTTTCTCCCTCTCCCCCCCCCCTCTTCCCTCCTTTTCCCCCTCCTTCCCCCCTTCCCCCCCCCCCCAACAGAGCACGTGGTCCGAACATCAGGTACCGGGGGTCCTTCTCTACACCACAGGCAGCGCGGGAGGGAGTGCTCTTCGACCCTGTCTCCGAGGACGAGCTTTTCCGGCATATCGCTGTCGTCGTCCTCATAGGCGTTCTGGCGATCAGATTTGGGGTTTGATGGGGGGGAGGGGGAGGGGGGTGATTGGGGTGGGGGAAGGGGGATATGGGGGATGGGGGGGTGATTGTGGGGGGTATGAGTGACGAGGGAGGGGGAGGGTTGTGGTTTGAAGGGAAGGGGTTGAGAAGGAGAGGGTGAAGATGGAGGTCGAGAGAGGAGGACGAGGAGGAGGAGTAAAAGAAGAGATGAGAAGGAGGAAATGCAGGAGGAGATGGATGGAGATGAAGATGAAGGAGAAAGTGGTGAAGATGAAGAAGAAAATGGTGGAGGAGAAGGAGGGAGATGTTTCGTGGTGATGATGAAGGAAGTGGAGGAGGAGGAAGAGATGGAAAATGGGCGATGATGAAGAAAACGGAGATAAGTGAAGATTTGATAACGACGGTGGAAACTGAGAAGAAACAATGATTGCATCACATTCCTGTCATTGCCATTTTATATACATATATATATCTATGTATGTTCTATATAAATAGAAGAAAGGTAGATTAAGGAAACTAAAGTGTTTTTTTTTTTCATTTTGATTTTGATTAATATATTATTCTTTTCGTTTCAATTTTCCCTCGGACTTTCTTGGTCGACCTCTCATTGTCATAATGCATGCTGACATGTGATTCAGGCACTTTTTTACTGACTAGACACTTTTTGCTAATGCATTTCAGTATGTGTGAGAATCATAGGAACTAATAATAATAACTTTCTTCATTGTACTGTAGACTAATGATGACATGTTTCCTTCAGGCATCCAGTCTTAGGAGTTTGTATATAAACAGCTTTTTAAACGCGTAGTGAAAATTCACACTGGAAACCATCCATACACTAACGGTTGAATGATTGACGAAAATGGGTAGTGTTTTCATCAGTGTAAAATTCCCTGGTCAATCGCCATGTCCCTTTTTTTATATATATATATATATTCACAACTGTATCACTAACCTTAAAATGGAAACTTTTCAAGAAGTACTTATAGGAGTCCATCGGCCGGTTTGTTAAAATTGTGCCAGGCCCGACCTTATGAATTTCCATAAATACAGATGCAGAAATAAAGGCATATCTGTCTATATATATATATATATATATATATATATATATATATATATATATATATATATATATATATATATATATCTGATAGATATACATTTGAACTATCTATTTACTCGGTTGATCTGCATGTCTAGCCGGATAAATATTCATTTAATGCTTTATTTATACGTCAAAGTATACGAATATTCTTTGGGTCGGACCTCGCGCAACTCTGACAAACCGGGAGCATAACACTGCAATGCAACACCGTACTGTCCAGACAAGCTTCTGGACATTACATTGTACAGAATATCATTGTCTTCGGCCCTCTCAGGCTCTGTGCGTATGTACTCTCTGACATGTGGTTCTGGGAGCTATATATACACACTTTACATGCGTCACAATGTTATATATATATAAATATAATGTATATGTAATATAGGGAAGGGATGACCCAAGGCAGGTTTGATATCACTTGTCCTGTGTGATTTTGATTAAAATGCCTTTGAGATAGAGTATACATGTGGGTTGGTTAGCTACATGTGTTTTTATTTTTCGTTGAAGTTGAATACCTGGTGGACTAGATTTTAATTAGGAAAATCCAAGCATAATAGGAATGTCTATCTAATCAGTAATAAAGTTGTTTTTTTCTATACTTAAATCTATCCAGAAATTAGATGAGAGATTAGATGTACATATATCATGTGATGGAATTCAAATACTAATTATTAAAAAAAGAAAGAGAAAACGAGAAATTGTGATTAAACTTTTCCAAAATTATACAGAAAGGTGGTGATCTAAAGAATGAACTACAGTGAAAAATATTATACGTGGCTCTTACATCTGTTTCATTTCATTTTAAACCAACATCGCACCGAAGCTCAGGAAAGCTTTTTTTATAACGAGGTCCAAATAAAGGTGTACAAAATTTTGGATTTTTTTTTTTTTTTTTTTTTTTTTTTTTAGTTTTATTTTATTTTTTTTTTTTTTTTGGGGGGGGGGGGATTTTGTAGATAAGGAAGAATCGGTGTGAATATCCACTTATGTGAACACCTCGAAAATTTTATTCAGATATCAGATGGAATTCTGCTTTCCATCTTGTGTTGTAAGGCTTGTAAGGCTTTTTATGTATTTTATGATTATTCGTAGAAGAAGAAAAGAGAGAAATGAGAGTAAGGATGATATTTAGATAAAATATTCCAAATAGGGTTTTTCGTCTCACAGCATTTTATAAGTATTTTATTTGTATAAAATGTAGTGCAATTTTTAGGTGTGTCGTATGATCCGGTCAATTCTTGGTTATGTGTGTGTGTGTGTGTCTGCATGTCTGTGCTTGTGTGTGAACGTTTTTGTTTGAAGTCACGTGCGAATGTGAAGGAATTTTTGTATGTTTTTCCTGTCAATAAAAAAATTGTCTTAAAAAGTCGAGTTTTCTTTCACAACCAAAAAAAAAAAAAAAAAAAAAAAAAAAAATGTGGGATCTCTTTTTTCTGTTGTAAATTTGAATAAAATTATTTGCTTCGGAGTATATAAATATTTTCAAAACTGACAGAGCAAAAATCGGAGCCTTTATTTTTTAAGTTGGAAAAAGTTTATGTCTAATGAAATACATTTTTTTCTTTCTTTTTTGTCCTTGGGTCATGCTAACAGAACAAATTCCAAAAATGTTTTTATTGGACTAACCATGTCCAGTGGCATTTCGAAAAAAATATTATAATAATCATGATATTAATATACTGATGACGACAAGAATAATATGGATGAGGATAACGAGAATGCAGATGATAATGATAATAGAAATTACAATAATAGTGATAATGACTATAATAACAAAAAGGAGAATTATAATGATGATGATTATGATGATAACAATAACCATAATACTACTAATATTGTTGATAATAACGATGCTGATGTTGAGGATAATGATAATTTTAATAGTAATGATAACAATAATGAGAATAAGAATAACAGTAATGGTAATGATCATAATAGCAATGATATTAAAGATAGTAATGATAATAATTAAAAATTATGATATCAGTGATAATGAAGATGAGAATGATGAAATATTAACAATAACAATAATAAAAAATATTAGTGAGGATAAAAAAGATAATGATAATTACAATTATACTCATAACAACGATAATGACAATGGTAATAGCAAGAATAATGGTAAAGATAATATATACTGATGAAAATTATAAAGATAATGATAACAATAGTAAAAATGATTGCAGCTACAACAACAAGAATAATGATAATGATGTTTATAACAATCATAATAAAAACAGTAATGATGATGATGATGATAAAAATAATAATAATGATAGTATGAATACCAATACTAACACTAGTAATAATAATAATAAGACTAACAAAGAAATTATTGAAATGAAAAGATTATGATAATCCCAACAGTACATTATGATGAAAATATGAAAAGAATCTTGTATGAATTAAGTCTAGAACAATAATGATAAAGGAGTGAATAAATATTATTGAAATATTATAAAATGCAGGTAATTAAGTTCATAATGAAGGTCATAAAGAAAATTACAGTACATATAACTATTTTATTAATAATACTATTTTTAGTGGTAATTCATAGTAACAATCATCACATTACGATTAACAGTGGTAGCAATAATAGTGGTGATAATAGTGATAAAGTTGTTAATTGTAATGGAAGTACATATACAATCTTATTTTCCTTTTCTAAAATCACTGGCTATATATATCATGTTTATTTTGTATATATATATATATATATTTTATATGTTATATATATATATATTCTAAATTCTAAATATCGTTTTACAGCTCATTCCGTGATCGCTATGTGAATGACATGAAACATTTTTTTTCTATATTATCATTACCATTCCTTTGTTTTATTCATTCATAAAGATATGTAACTGATCAGATATATTTCAGAATCGTTCGCTCACATCTGCTGAGAGCGAAGGCCATATTTGTCCAAGAAAGTGTTCAGAAATGCTTCTTTCTCCTGAAAAAAAGAAAGAAAAATGAAATCATTTCTGAAAAAATTTCACATACACATAATATAATCTTCTAAATCCATGCATACAGGATAATATATATGCACACAAGCACACACGCGCGCACGTACAAATACACACATATTATATGTTTATATAAACATGTGTTGTGTGTGTGTGCGTGTGTGTGGTGTGTGTGTGTGTGTGTGTGTGTGTGTGTGTGTGTGTGTGTGTGTGTGTGTGTGTGTGTGTGTGTGTGTGTGTTACAGGAAATATGTAAAACTATGGATTAAACGGGAAACCTGAAGTAATCGGGGATTTCATGTAATTGCTGTGACCGATTAGATAAAATCCCTGATTATTTCTGGGTTTACGTGTAATCCCGAGTTTTACACATTCCCTGTAACTTACACACACAAACACACACACACATACACACGTACATATGCACACATACACGAACACAAACAAACAAACAAACACATATATATGTATGTGTGTGTGTGTATGTGTGTTGTGTGTGTGTATCCATGAATCTACACACACACACACACATCCAACCCCTTCCCTTCCCACACCTCCTCCCCTCCCCTTCCCCTCACCCTGCCCTTCCCATCCCTTTCCCTCCCCACCCCACACCCCTTCCCCCCCCCCCCACCCCTCCTCCCCCACCACTCCCCAACCCATCCTTCCCCACCCCACCCCTCCCTCCCCCTCCCCCTCCCCACCCTACCCCCCTTCCCTCCCCTCCTCCCTCCCCACCTCCCCCACCCCTCCCCACCCCACCCTCCCACCCCTCCCCCCACCCCACCCCCTCCACCCTACCCCACCCCCTACCCCACCCCACCCTTCCCCTCTTCCCTCCTCCCCCCACTCACCTGGTTATCCGGGAGCACAGGCCCGAAGACCTCGAGAAGCAGCGGCTCAGCGGTGACGGCCGTGGCGTAGTCCTCGAAGCCAACGCGGCCGTCGTGGTCCGAGTCCAAAGCGGCGCATCACCATATCTGTCAGGGGTGGGGTTGAGGGTGAAGGCGGAGGGTGAGGGTGGTGGGGGGGTGAGGGTGAGGGGTGGGTGAGGGGTGGTGGGGGAGGGGTGGGGGTGTGGGAGGGTGAGGTGGGGGTGGGGGTGGGGTTGATGGGAGGGTGAGGGGTGTGGGATGTGGGGTGATGGGTGAGGGTGGAGGTGGAGGGGTGAGGGTGAGGGGAGGGGTGGGGTGAGGGGTGATGGTAAGGGGTGAGGATGAGATGATACGCAATCATCTTAAATATTCCTTAAATTCAATGGCATCTTAATTAGGCTAAGACACACCTCTGGTAAATAACAGACAAATACCAGCATTACCAAAAACATAATATTAATAGCAATGATT